GTCTTCGTTCACAGACTTCTACAACTTTCAGACTTCTTTAATAGAAGTCTTCACGTGTGTACTTCTCGCGAGATCACTGTTTTACGATTAAAACTAGCTCAATTTTTACACGATTCCCAGCGATCTTGGCTGAGGCCAAGAGACTCGAGACGGGCCCTCAATCTTGTCGAGTGCGTTCGTTGTTCATTCCGTACGACACGTTCGCTGAACGTCATAGTAACTGAGGACGGATCCGGCGTTGGACGAAACGCTAGAGACGCGCGACTAAACGAATGCGTACGGAACGAACGCGTAAAGGCAAGACGAACGTGTACATAGGGAGTGAAGAGAGAGCTGAGGAGCTCGAGCCCCGCCATGTGGTGCGTCTATTTCCGTGCTTGCTCTCGACCGACACGGCGCCTCCGAATGGATCTCCGACTCAAGCGGGTTCCTTCTTGCTGCTCTTGATTGATCCGCGCCGCGTAACTTCTCATGGTCGTGGTCCACGTGGCTTGTCAGTGGCGTCCACGCGCGTTGTCCAGCGAATAATAGATGCATCTCGTTGTCTTCAAATATTCAGACTTCCGGATATTCTCCAATGTACTCCATTATTTCGTGCCGACTGCCAAAAGATATGTACACAAGGCGAAAAAAAATTTTTTTTTTAGAATATTAGAGAGAGGGGCTGTTCACTCACTACTATTGTCTCAGATTAATTATAACGTCAGAAGCGAGAACACAACACAATAAGAATTCTTGCAAATTATATATAAATATAATTATATTTCAATAAAAAGTTTTTAGAATATTAATAAAATAGACTTATATAAAATATATCGAAAACTATCTTTTTGGGGGGAGAAATTAATAAATTATATTTATATTTCTAAACAAATAATAATAAGGGGCAAAGTAAGAGTCAACATTTCTTTGAAATTAACAAAAGAATATATTATAATTAACAGAGGTAAAATTACATAACGCAAAAATTAGAATCGAAATTACGAAAATAATTACAACTTATGCGATCATTTGCGAAAATTGATTTTATTCTGCGATTTTTTTCGTTATGTTAATGTCTGAAGAGGGCTTTATCCGGTAGCCGAAACTTGTAACTTGTAATTATTTTCGTAATTTCGATTCTAATTTTTGCGTTATGTAATTTTACCTCTGTTAATTATAATATATTCTTTT